AGAATCAAGCCACTCGTAGTTCAAAGAATTGCAATGAATGAATGACTCATTGCAAATGGAAAGATTTGTATCAATTTGATTGAGAAAGTGTTTGAGCGAATTTAGCTGAATAAACCAGGGATTCGATTTTGATGTGTTTGGGGTGAATTTGGTTAAGAATAAACCAGGGATTCGATTTGGATTTGAGATTTGGGCGGTTGCATCTAGATTGAATCTCTAGATTGCCTACGTACCCTTTCAAAGGGATCAAACCAACGTAGTTCGAAATTGATTTGGAAATTAATGGGTAAATGTGGCCCACTAATTAAGAATTTGTGTCTTTGAGACAGTTTGGAGATGTTGAAATTTTCATAGGTAGATGACCTATGAGAAAAATTGGAAATTAATGGGTAAGTGTAGCCCACTAATTGAGAATTTGTGTTTGAGAGATTTGGGATTAACCTCAACGAAATTTGCATGGGTAGATGACCCATGGGGAACTTGATGGTTTTGTACCATTTTTCTTATTGTCAATATCCAAGAAAAATAATGAGTAATTTTAATTATCCCATTGATTTTTCATAAAATTGACATTTGCACTTGGAAAAGTGTTTTGGCGAATTTGGTTAGGCTAAACCAGGGATTCAAATTTGGTTGTGGTTGCGTCTATTGGGATGTTAGACTGCCTACGTACCCTTGACAGAATCAAACCGACGTAGTTCCAAATTGATTAGAAATTAATGGGTAAGTGTGGCCCAATAATTTAGAATTTGTGTTTTGGAGATTTTCATAGGTAGATGACCTATGAGAAAAATTGAAAATTAATGGGTAAGTGAGGCCCATTAATTGAGAATTCGTGTCTTTAAGACAATTTGAAGATTTTCATAGGTAGATGACCCCATAAGAAAAATTGGAAATTAATGGGTAAGTGTGGCCTACTAATTGAGAATTTCTGTTTGAGAGATTTGAATATAATCTCATTGGAATTTCCATGGGTAGATGACCCATGGGGAAAATTGGATATTAATGGGTAAGTGTGGCCCACTAATTGAGAATTGGATTTGAAATTTTCATGGGTAGATGACCCATGAGGAAAAATTGGAAGTTAATGGGTAAGTGTGGCCCACTAATTGAGAATTTATGTTTGAGAGATTTGAATTTAATCTCCCATGAATTTTCATGGGTAGATGACCCATGGGGAATTGGATGGTTTTGTACCATTTTTCCTTATTATCAATGTCCAAGAAAAATAATGAGTAATTTTTATTATCCCATTAATTTTTCCTAAAATTGACATTTGCACTTGGGATTTGGTGTGGTTTTGTACCACTTGGGTCTTGGCGTGGTTTTGTACCACTTGAGTCTTCACTTGACCATTTGGGAATTAATGAGACTTCTTTTATTGGAGCCCATTAATCCATAATTTGTGAATTTGAGACTTTGCCCCAATCATTCACCAATTGGAATTTTCAATGAACAATCCGTTGAGCTTGAGACCATCGGGTTTTGAGATTTGAGACGAGCCCATTGGGTCTTGATATCCACCTTGACATTAGACCATTGGGTCCAGGGACGGTCCTATGACTTGTACAACCTGGGCTATAGCCCAGGTGAGTTTTATTTATTTATTTCTTATAGTTAGTGTTAATGTTAATCCCATTTATAGCATAAATATTAATTTGAACTAATTGGATAATTGTAGTGTTACCCTTAGTTGCCGTGTGTCTATCTGACTCTATCTTTGTGATGATAAATTTTCATTTTTGAATTTTCTTATGAATTTTCATTTCTTTGAATTCATTTTTGTTCATCATGGTAGACCTTAGTTGGCATTGTTGGTGTTAAATAGGTCTTTTAAACAAATAAAATAAAAATGATATGTTCTTACATTATATATTTTAATGAGAAGAACAGTTCAATAAGCCTAAAATCTAACAGTTCAATAAGGTAAATCTAGCCCACCCCATTTTAAAATTCTGGGTCCGTCCCTGATTGGGTCTTGAGATACATGCTCGTATTTGACAGTCCAATATATTTTAATGAGAAGAACTTGGCCCTTACACCTTAGGCTCTCAGACTTGTTGCGTGGTCTTTGTGACTTTGGGGAGCTTCTATAATGAGGAGACTATGTGAGGAGGTTATTTGAGGAGGCCCATCTCACCATCAAAAGGGGTGTGGACCCCCCAATGCACCCCCCCCCATGTCATTTGTTTTTAGTTGTTGATGGTGAGATTTCACTTCCTTAAATAATCTCCTCATTCTAGCCTTTCCGGTGACTTTGCACAGAAAGCCCAATTCTTCCATAACATTTCCGGTGACTTTGCACAGAAAGCCCAATTCTTCCATAACATTCACAGTGCTTCACCCTGCTGTTGTTGAGTTGATTTTGAATACGAGAACTCAACTACAACTGGACTTAGGATAAAGATGGTTACATGCCAATGGCCTTGGGAATCGCCTTGAATGCGTTTTGAATGTATGGGCCGTGAAATTCTGAAACTTCACTTTTGTATCAAAGAAGAAACCATTTGGAGTTTCACGTGGTGGGCTCACCAAAGGGGGCTTTCTCCCTTTTTATCTGCAACAACATTGCTCTTCATGCCTTCATGTGGTATGTTCACTTTTTTTTTTTTTTGTTTGCTGTAGGGAGCAAGACAAAGCAATTTGTCTTTAAATTGGTGCCTTGCAGGTGGCGTAAGACGAACAGGGATAAACTTCAACAGTGGCCCACCACCACACCCATTTTCATCTCGGAAAATCTAAAGTCAGAGGCAAACCCCTGCTCATGATTTCCTTGCAAAGACACCACATTTGATTTTGCTTTGTGATGATTGAAATCATCGTGACAATCCCCACGGATTGAACTTGTGTTTGAGATGCTTGAAGGAATAGTGGAGAGACCCAGCGGTCTTGCTTGCTGTTTGGAATGATGAAACCGTGAAGGAAAACTGATTGTGGCCCTGCTTTGCTCCAGTTGGTCCCTCATAGCTTGGTGCCATTAACAAGTGTCTTTTAATTTGATTAAGACACCCAAGGATAAAAGTCCTTTCCGAGTAAAATCTGAATTAACCTCCTTGTTGATTTGGAACCCCTGGATCTTCCAGGAAAGTAAGCCCCTTGTCCATATAGGATTGGGCTATGTGTATTTCTTTTATATAAAGAAAGACATATGCACCACAAGTTAAACAAAACGAATGCTTTTGATATTCTTTCTTTGTTTGCTTTTCCATACACTTGCACAAGCAAAACGAGGGCACTTGCACGTGGGATCAACCCCACTAAATTTTGGCTTTGAAATTTGAAAAGCATATGGGATAATTGGATTTAATTGCTTTTTTTATATTTATTTCTTTGAAACACTTATCATCTATATTAGATAAGGGTTGCTGGACATGGGCTTAGACAAACACAACCCATGTGATTTTTTTTTTTGTGATTTTTTTTGGTTCAACACAACGTTAATAAATTATTGGGAGTTTCACTAAAATACCCAAAATGGGGGCTGAAATTATAAAAATACCCAACACCCAAAACACTTTATAAACATACCCAAAACTCATCATTACACATACTCAAAACCCATTTATAAACATACCCAAAACCCATCATTACACACATACCCAAAACCCATTTTGGGTATGTTTCTATGTTTAAATAGTGTTTGGGTATTTTTATAAATACATGTCTAGAATTGTGTATTTTTATAAATATCTATAAATTAAAACCCACATTTACTTTTCTAGTTAGAGACCAACATCTTAGGTAAATATCTCATGCATTCCCGACTGGAGACTTCTCCCTTCGTTTTCTTCCCAGCCAATTATAAAAGACCTTTGTATTCTGAAAGAAAAGAAAGACAACACCGGTGAGCTGTAAACCATATGACTTCTGGTGTCTAAATCAGACTTGGAATATGAATGCGCGAGATTAAGATTCTTGGCTCTTTTTTTTGAATGATAATATACCCATAACTGACTGCAGCTATTAATATTTACGAACGATAATCTACCTATTATCTATAATTTACTTATATTGCATAATCTACAAGCAAAGAAACAAAAACATTTCTCACCTAATGCAGTACAAATCAATTCTTTTAAATTAAATTTTGAAGAAATAATTTACGTTGTCATATTAACGAGTGAAATTAACGAGCCAACTTTTCCTACAACTACGTGATGGTGGACATATTAACGAGTGGAATTAACATATAATTAAGATTCGGAGATACTCAATTACGCATATTAGCCACAAACTCGTTTTTAGTCTGATTATATTGTTTCTACTTAATTTGGTGAGGTTGTAGGTTAGATTCACATGAATGACAATGACTAGCCCATTATATTAGTGTAATTTTGTTGCTAGTATATTAGTCGGTTATAAACTATACTTTTTGTAAATATCTTATCTTTTGTTATAAAAAATATGCCTAGTAGACACACAAAAAGGAAAAGCGGGTCAAAAGGAAAGCAACATGGTGGAATATATAAACAAGAAGACAAATGCAATTGTCCAAAATCACATTCACGGGAACTGGAGTTAGAGAAAATACCAAATTTATATTCAAAAGGCAGCAGACTCGTGTACTTTCATTGTGTCCTCAAATAAAGAAAAATTGAGTTTAGTGACAACTCATGACTGATGCATGCACATGGGAAAGAAAAAATGGCCAAAGTCACTATTATTGACGAATCCAAAATCCGAACCCTATGTGGTGATGATGTAAATGTTCAAAAGAAAATTTAAGAGAGGGTTATTTTTTTTTAATCTATTTTTTCTCTTCCAAATGTTATTCCTTTCTTGGACAAATATACTTGAATGATTTCAATATATTATTTTTTCAATTTATGCTATTGAGTGATTTGCAAAATTGTTAGAAATATGCCCTTAAAGCCAACTAATTATTATGTAATAGTTAGAGTCAAGGACATCTTTGATAAAAGACATATTATGTTATCAATGGGCAAGAAATGTTGTTTTATACATTAAATCATCCTATATTATCTTTCAATATGTAGAACAACCATGGTCCAAGGAATACACGAGTGGATATGAGAGCTATGTAATGAGATTGCATACATGGAGACATAAAAGGAATGATTCACATTAGGATATTGACAATCGGATTCTATGATCTAGTAATGTGAATAAGGAGTATTGACATAAGAGAATGATTCAATTGCACGATCATTCCAATTTGAATAGGTTCTTTCACAATGTCTCATTTAGCTCGGATAACTGTGAGTTGCTGCTAGGCAATAACCATGATTTGTGGATGTCCTAAAAGGTTTCAATTAACCTTTATTAGTAGGAAGAATTAAATTGTAGAATTTAATTCATATATCATCTCTAAGGAGTTGAGTCAACCCACTACCTTGCTAAAGGGAACCTACGGATCTGCACACCCAAAGAATGTGATTAGAGGTACAAATGAGGAGAAATGAAATTAGGAGACATAAGTCAATGGTTGATAATCAAATGTCAAAGTCAATGATCAAAGTCAACATGTTGACCGGACCAATTGACCAAAGTCAAATAGTTCTATCTGGTCAATTAAGTAAGACTATAATTATAATTTAATAGTTAAATTATAATTAAAAGATTAATTATGGAATTAATATTGACATATATAAAATATTGGATTGGGCTTTTAAATATGATTTAAAAGGAAATGGATAAAATAGCCCAAAAGGCTATTGGGCCCAAGGGATAAGTGGCATAAGATGACATGACCCATGTACCAAATGGAGCCCCAAATACCCACCCAATTGCCTTTTGTGTTGTCATATATAAGCTAAGTGTTGGAGAAAACCTAGCTAGGGTTTTTGGTTTCCTACTTTGGTTGATGAGTGATCATCTTTGTATCTCATCTTTCATAAACCAAAAATTGGTCCAATCAAGAAGTAGACTAGCATCCATACTTCTTGATTGCTTTCTCTTCAAAAGAAACAAAAGGCCTTTCTAACAAAGGTGTTCATTCTTGAGAAATCAAGAAAAGGTCATAAAGGTTAAAGATCTATTCCCTTTATCCTTTTTCTATTTGTGTTCAAAGAGACTAGGCTAAGATACTTGGTTTAAAATGAAAAATGTTTAGCTCAACTAGTATAAACAAAATGAATCCGCCATTTAGAATGTTTTAGTTGTATAGGTTGTGGCTAAAGTTCATATCCTAAGCGTTAGATGCATGTTTCCTTCAAAAATTTGAAACCAAATTTATGCCAATTAACCAAAAAACAATAATAGTGGCGCAATAATAGGTGGTGGATGGTGGCATAACTCCGACGGCAGTGGGAACACATTGGCGGCACTATAATAGGTGGGATTAGGGAGGTTGGGTTAGGGTTTGAAGAGAGAATAATAGAAATTGGGGTTTTAGGGGGTGAATATCGAATGGGCTTTAAAGGGTGGGGGAAAGCTGAAGGAAAACCTTCTTATTCTTCTTTTTTAAATGACTTGGCTCAAAACGATGTCGTTGTGGCCAGATCATTTTTAAAACATTTAACTGAGCCAAAACGACGTTGTTTTACTCAGGGAGTTATAATAAATAAAATAAATAAATAAAAAGTGCAGTACACTTCTTCTTCCTCAAGCAAAACATTGAGCAATAGGAAGGGAGTTCGTAGGGTTGCACCACCGGTTCAGGTGGACCTCTAAGCCTATTTTCATGGCTTCCATCGGGTTGATTGACCCCAGTGACCTCACTGTGGCTCCAACTCTGGTCAGGATGTCCTAAACCATATATGTGAGGGAATTTATAGCTCTAACGAGTGTGAGGATACTTAGCTTCACATTAAGGCTATAGTTTGAATCTCTTTTTCCATGTGGCGTTCTTTGTAACGAAAGAATACACTATGTATTTTAAGTGCATACAATCTATCTAATGTTTTATGTATTATCAAATCTAATTTTGTTCTTTTACGGCATTTCATACAAACATACCCTACATGCAGTTGGAGTAAAAAAGGTTCAATACATGTTAGCTATGTAAACCATGTATCCTTCTCGTATAGTGTATGGCCTGGGCTTGGATTGAGGTTAGGGCCTATACCAGATTTCTTGGTTGAGATGCCTTCTGGAAGAGACCTACACACTTCAAATAGTTATAAGAACAGGAGCGAACTGGGGTTTATCCCAATTGAACCCCCTCCGATGGCTAAGTCAGAAGTGGTTTGTTGATGGAGAAAAGGATGTAGGGTTTGTATGGTGAGAATATTAACTACCTCTGTCCTGATGTGGGTGAAAGGTATTTATAGGGGGAGAAGGAGAGACAAAGATATTTAAGGAGGAGATATTTATCTCCCTTCCCCTTGGTGGGACGGGATTACATTAAATGACTTTGTCTTAATAACCATGCTATTTGACAGGGATCAGGTGGCAAAGCAACACGTGGCCTTGCATGGGAAGTACATTAATTGATCTCTTTCCATCGCCAGGCTGTTGATCAGACGGGTGGAGTGACTAACTTGACAAGGGTCTGATCATGCCTACATATCATCAATGCGCCTTTGGTCGTACGTAGTGGTCGGGTCGGTGCTCGAATGCCCGAGCATTGTTTCACATTTTGTCTTGTCAAGTTTCCGCTCGGATGCTCTTTATCGACACCTAGGGTACCATATATGTTCGGGTCAGTATAAAGGTAACCCAGCCCACTATGACCACGAGGTGTCCTCTAATACGCTCGGCTCATAGTGATGGCATGAGCCATTAACAGTAGCCCCTGGACTCTCAACTTAGGGAGCCGATCTTAGGTGGGGAGTTGTTTTGTTTTCTCTTTTTAAGTGAGCTGAGCCTTTTTTCAATTTGAACGACCGAGTCGTAGGGGTCGGGTAGGCAGCCCCCCAAGTCCTTAGCAAAGTTAGGCTCCTTGGCGTAACAGTTGTGGCGCCAGGTTTTGAATTTGGGGTACTCGAGTGGGGGTGACGTGGATGTGGTTGATTAGCTGAGTAGGGATGCATTTAATGGCCTCTGACATCAGACCTTTCGAAGGGTTGCATCGATGCGTGCTCCGTCGCTTCATCTGATGGCTGCTGTGGTGCGGCCACGTGCGGTCATCTTAGCGGGTGTAGCCGACGTGCGAACGGTGGAGATTTGGTGGTCGTCGTCGTATAAAAATGTCGGAGCAGCCCGCAGTTAACATTTTTGCCATTAATCCCGTTGGAGAGCTTTGAGGAGATTTCCGAGCGATTCCCTTGGTGCGCCCCTGTTGCACAAAAGATTAGTCCAATTCTGAGTTGGTTTTTGGTAAGCCCCTTCCTTCCTATTCCTTCTTTCCTTCCTCTTCCTTCTGTTTTCCCAGAATCCCCACTCTCAATTTTTGTTTTTGAGTTACCTCAAATTTTCTGGGTTTGGTGTGTTTTGTTTCTTCGACTTTCTTGTTTTGGTATGTTTTGATCCTTATACTCCGTCCGTTCCCCCTTTGGTTGTGTTTGAAGTATTGTGAGCAGTAAAAAATATGTCGAGCCGATCAGATATGTCTAATTTGCAAAATACAACGAGCAGCGAGTCGGCCTTTAGGGATGACAGGGATGATGTGGATGTAGTGGATCAAATGTATGATGCAGCCGACCAGATGGGTGAGGACATGACCATTGGTCTCGGTGGGAACTTTGAGTACCGAGGGGTTGGAGGTGGGGTAGAGGGTTAGGAAGTGGGGAGTGCCAACCCGGGTGAAGGAAGTGGTGAAACTGAAGATAGGGAGGCAGTTATGGTGGCTGTAGCGGGCTCAGGTGGGGTGGTAGAGGCGAATACTGATACTGACCTAGCAGAGGGAGGATGGTTGGTTGATGAGCATCCGAGAATGATGACGCAACAGAAACTGGATTGGTTAAGGGAATAGTACGCCATATCGAGCAGTGTGAGGCTTAGAGCGCCGACCGAGGATGAAAAGCCGAGCAACCCCCCCTTGGGTGGGTGACTTTGTGCGCAGATATGCTTAAGCTGGGGGTTCAGCTGCTGCTATCTCCCTTTCTATAGGAGTGGATAAGTTGGCTCGGTGTAGCCCCACATTAGATGAACCCAAACGTATATAGGACCATGGTAAGTGTCCAAGCGTTGTGGCGGCGGGTGCACAATTCAAAGCTGACCATAAACCAAGTGTTGCACTGTTTTATGTTGAAGAGGAGTTCGTACCAGGTCAGCTTCTACTACCTTCAGAGTAAGGTGGGGAAGATGATTGAGAGTAATCCCTCTTCCCAAAAGACATGGAAACCACACTGATTCTACACGTCAGGTGCGTGGGAATTTCCTGAAGGGGTAGAGTTGAGGCAAACTAGGATACATAAGCGGTTTAGAGTGCCAGGTCGGGTTGGCGTGCAGGATTCCTTAAACTTCTCTATTTTCTTCTTCCCTTGTATATTTTTTTTGCATAGAGTAATGTGGTGTCTTGTTGATATACTGGGATATAATTTGACACGTTTGGTGACCATTGCAGTTGAATTGGAGCAAGCCGATCTGTCCACAGTCGAGCAGGAGCAAGTTGACTAAGGGCCGCAGATATACTTTTGGCTAGTGAAGGTCTGATCGGCTCAGCAGGTCAGTGATCTTTCCCTCTTTCCCTTGTGCTAGTACCATTAATGCGGCAAATATTGCAACTATAACTCGTTGTCTGTTTAGCAATAAGGCCTAATCGGAACGATCCTAGCATGTAAGCTAAGCTAATGAAGCTTGCAAAGAAAGGGTCCTCTAGTGGATCGGCTGGTGGCTCTCAACAGGCTCGGGTCTGTGGCTCGGAGCCAAGCGACAAGTGTCGCCGCAGTTCCTATTCGGGGAGGGCAGAAGAGATGAGCTAAGGAGCAGCTGCCTCGAGATGCGGGGAAGAGGTCTGCGCCAGGGGCTGGTAAGAGGACTAGTGTGGACCCTGTGGGTGGTCCGTTGGAGCTATCGGTGGACGGGGAAGTGGTGCTCAGCTCGTACCACGAGGCGATCAGGCGGGTCCTGAAGATGGAGGTTGTTGAGGGGCTATTTGCAGAGGAGATGGGGTACAGCGGTATGACTGTAGCGGAGCTAAGCAAGCAGTGATCGTGGCGGAGCTGAGCAGGACGTTTGGCGAGAAGGCAAAGGTTGAGGAGGAGCTAGAGTTTGTATGGGGTCGTCTCGGTGTATGTGGAGGTGCTTAGTACACGTTTTTGTTTGTTTACATTGGTTTTAATTACTTTGAATTACTTTGTTTAGATACTTTGTTTTACTTTTACAAGTTCTGGAACACATGCATGTGCGTTTTTGTGTAAGCAGAGCCGACCAGAGGCTTTAAAACTAAAAATAACTTAAACAAGATCACCCAAGGAATAAAGTACCAATCTATAATAGAAGTAACACGTAGTTTCATTAAGTACAAAGGTAGAGTACAACGATTTCAAGCCGAGCACAACACTGGGTTAGGTAGACCGATGTCGTGTGTG